ATTCCTGTCTTGGTGGCATGGCCTAATGTAGTAGGTATCCTGTAGGGTCCAGTGGTACAGTCTCCCCTATCACCCAAATGGGTACTTGAGGTACACCCTTTGTGTGTGCTGAATACACCCTCCTCTTGTAGTTGAGCCTTGATTGCTATTGTCAGGTGAATGGGAGGGATTTACCCAGCCCAGTCAGTTGCAAGGACTGGCTATAACCCCTGACCAGAAACCTCCATCCCTCGTGGATGATCAGTCGTGCCAGGGCAGGGTGGTGGTGATCCGATGTGATCTGTAGCTGTCCACTGGCTGTGCAGGCCCTGGGGTTTCCAGGGTGGTACAGAGCAAGGTCATTCCCTGACCTGTGATCTGCCCCAGCAGCACTCCACATGAGCTATAACGCAATCTGAGATGGCTGCTACTTGTGCTGGGCTTGGCAATTCCCAGGTAATGCCAAGCTATGAATCTAGGCTGACTGCTGCTAGTGATAGGCCTGGGACCACTTAGCAAGAACTATGGGGCTTGGGGCTTGGGGGCTTACAGAGGCCAGCTGTTGCTTATCTGATAGGATTTAGGAAGTTGTGATGCATACGCCAAGACCAGCCATCGATATCTTGTATGGGCCTGTAAGTTGGGTGGGATGGAGTCTCAGGGGATCCCCAGGGTGGGGCAGTGTTACCAAGGTTGATGGAGTCTCAGATATGACACCTGCCTGCTGACTCTGTGGCTCTGAGTGGGGAGGGTTCAGAAAAGGTACAATGGCCTCTGCCCCCCTTTCTGTCTGGGGAATGCTATCCCCCAGCTCCTGCCTTGATGCACCATACTTCATTTCCTCTCTATATGCCACTGGTGCCTTTCAGGCTACTACCCTGGTGCTGGAGCTCACAGTGAGAGGGTCTGAGTAATCACTTGGAGTGAGTGAATCCACTTCGTGTGTGGATTCTTTAAGGAGAACTGCTTGGGACTCCAGAAGTTTCTTCTGTCCACTCAATCCCCACTGGTTTTTGCCACCAAAAATCATGGGGATTTAATCTTCCTGGCACTGGAACCCTAGGCTGGGGTCCTGGTGTAGGGCTGGGACTCCACACTCCCAAGGTATCCCTCCTGAATTTTAATCCACCACATGAGGATATAGGACCAGCACACTCCGTATCTCTCCACTCTCTGAGTCTGGATGGATGTGGTTTCTTTAATTTCATAGTTGTCATACCTTTATTCAATTTAATTTCCAATAGTTTTGAATGATGGTTGTTTTATATGTTAGCTGTAATTCTGATGTGGTTGTTCAATGAGGTCAGCTGTTTATCTATGCTGCCATCTTACCAAAAGTCTCTAAAAGTACAAGGTCTTTACACACCCACCTGTCCATTTACAAGTGAAGCTTCTTCATCCACTGCTCCCTGCATTTTGGAGAATGCTAACTGATGTTAAGGAAGGTGGTGTTTTTGTTATTGTCATCAACCTCGTTTTTGTAAAACACAAAAACATTTTTGCAAATAAGGGTTTAAAATATTGCCTGATAATCTTATATTCATAACCTGACATCTTAACTCTAAAATGTTGAAAATTTTCTTTGGAGAGGGGAACAACATGGTCAGACTATAGCACTTTCTGATGAACTGACAATACAGTGGAGTGGATTTATGGCTCCTGTAGATTTTGTTTTCCATTTCAGCCATCAGTGAGAGACTTCTGAAGACTAGTGGATTCTGACAATCTGTTCTTTCCTTGAGACATAAATGTGGTTTGCATCATTGGCTAACATCAGGGGTTTTTTTGTGGTTTTGTTTTTTATTCACTATCAAGCAGGCAGTCACTCTCAACAAGATTCTGAGAGGTCACATCAATTTTTAAATTTAAAATTTATTCCCTACAGTGGAAATATTATATGCTGTAGCAGTACTCACAGATTTGGGTATTCACAAGACTCTGATATGTGTCTTTTGTCTTTATATCTGTGTCTATAGATAAATCAAGAAACTGTTAAGAATAACGAATATGCCCATTTGACTTTCTCTTAAATATCAGAGATGTCAGACAAGTCTTTACTATGGAGCAATTGTGGGAGTGGGCAAAAATACAGGTATTCCTCATTTTCTGATTTCTCACCATCTGAAGACTGCATACCATTTTACTCCAAATTCACTTTCAATCAAAACCTCCTATAATGAATTTGCTAGCTATAATATGTAGATTAGCTTACCTATCTGGAGGAGAGTATGCAAAGTGAATTGCAAACCTAGTTCAGATCTTTTTCAAGTAAGATAGGTCTTTGCTGTCCTTGTTTGTATCGATTGTACATTACAGATGTCATCTTCACATTATTAAGTGCTATGACATATTTGTATCATCCCTCCCATCCAAATTCATATGTTGAAATCCTAACCTCCAAAAGTGATTGTATTGGGAGGCGGGGCCTCTGCTAAGTGATTAGGTCATGAGGGTGGAGCCCTCATGAATAGGATTGATGCTCTCCTGAAAGAGAACTCACAGAACTCCCTAACCCCTTCCATCATGCAAAGGCGTAGCAGGAAGACACTGGCTATGAATCAGAAAAAGGGCCTTCACCAGGAGACAATAGCGCTGGTGCCTTGATCTTGGACTTCCCAGCCCCCAAAGCTGCAAGAAATAAATTTCTGTTGTTTATAAGCTACCCAGTCTGTGGTATTTTGTTATAGCAGCCTAAATGACGCAAGACATTAAGTCAAAATATCTTCTAAAAAATTGATCCTGCCAAGTTTTCAACAACTGATGTTTTGGGGAAGTGATCATCTCAAAGAAAACAATTACAGATGTTGCGATGGTTGGAGTTATATATACATATGGCTATAGCTACACAGGGAAAATGTTGAAAAACAAAGAGAAACTTGTTCAACTTCGTGCTCACTGTTGCTCAAAAAAAGAGAAAAAGGAAGAACAATTCTGAATACTCAGTGCCAAATGTTTAAAAGATATTTTAGATCATTCATAGGAAATTACTGGTGTAAATGATTGTGATTATGACATGAGTATAACGTTCAAAAGTCAAAAATGTATTTCCATGTACAATTTTATTATTGGGAACCATATAACTGCATGATAGAGAAATACTATCCATTTTGAGGAGCTGTTTTATTGGCTGCTTTGGTTTTTGTCCTGTTGCTTCAGGTGAGGCTTCTTAGTTACTGATTGTGTCTTAACTGCCAAGTTGAGAAGACTGTCCTACCTATTCCTTGAATTTAGACTGGACTTGCCTCTGCCATGTAGTAAGTCACTTAACTCTTTTACTAGCTCATGCTCTCTCAAATTTTACCCATCACCAAACCTCAACCAAGACCACAGTCTGCCTTCCCTCCCCCAACCAAACCTTACTTGGGCAATTGAAAAGTACTGTTGATACTGTACAGTATCCTTGAGAGTTGCATACAAACATACAATTGATGAGCCCAATAATTGTTAAGTAACTGGATGATTAGTATTTTAAATGCTTATATCACACAGATACATTTAAGGATTGTTATAGAAGTTGAAGATGGTTGTTAGTGATATTTAGGGAAACTGGTTGAATTTTTTTTGTTTGGATATGGAATGCATAATTATTTTTCCCATTTAAAATACTAAAATATTAGACTACCTCTAAAAATACTAGGAACAGAAGCAAATTATATTGCCTAAATTGCTATTCAACATGTTTTTGGGAGTATCTCAGATACAGATAATGAGGAATGCAGGCTGTAGGTAAAGCTGTGACGATGTTGTCATTTCTGGTCCCCACCCCTTTGTGTCAGGTGTGTAATGTACTGCACTGTGGTTTTATTTATTATTTTTAAAAATCCCCACCCGAGGATATGTTTATTGACTTTAGAGAGAGAGGAAGGAAGAGAGAAACATCCATGCGGGAGGGAAACATTGCTTGGTTGCCTCAGGTAGGTGTCTAGACCAGGAACTGACCCTGAAGCCTAGTTATGTGCCCTGATCCGAATTGAACCGTCAGCCTTTGGTGCAACAGAAGGATGCTCCAACCAAATGATCCACCCAGCCTGGGGACACTGTGGTTTTAACCTAATTCATTCATTCATTCTTTGTATTGTCATTTTACGTATGAAGAAACAGGTTTAGAAGAGCAATGTTACCTTCCCAAAGTCAAGAGTTAGAAAGAAGAACCCGCCTTTTCTACTTTGAAATTAGTCTTCTTTTCCCTCACATAAGAAATAATGCTTCTCTTTTAGCCCAGCTCTCAGGAAAGTGCAATCTCCCCCAAATTTCACCTCCTTGGAGCTCCTTCCCCTGCGGAGGCCTTGGGCACCCCAGGCCTTTAGAAGTTCTGCGTCTAGCTGCTCAAGAACACCCCCTCCACCCCATCTCTCTACCCCACCTCCTCCTCATTGCCCCCCTCACTTCCGGGCCTGGCTTCTACCCACCTGCCTCTATTTCCTTCTCATAAAACTCTACCTACCCTCTTTGATCATCTTAAAGTGCCTGCGCCTCCTCGTGGTCATTTATTTAAAAAAAAGATATAATACCTAAATCAACACCTCTTAGCTACTATTAACATTACCCACCGTTATTTTTTTAATACTCCAACATAAAGTTTCTCCTCAGTAAAACAGGCATAATACCTACCTTATAGGATTGTTTGCAGGATCCAAAAACACAATCTAATGTGCTTAGCACAGTGCCTGATGATAATGAACACTCAATATGTGGTCCCAGAATTCGTGCTCCTTGCTAAGCTGCTTCCCCCCAAATTTGTTTTTATGAGAAAACTCTCTGCAAACAGCTAAGCACTCAACAACCGACGGTTACTAGGGCAAAATGAGCTCTTCTTCACTTCCTCGGAGATCTCCCAGCGATCAGCTCCCATATAAATAAAACCCTGTGCAGCTAACTCTCACTGGTGGTAGGTCGCTCCTCCGCCTGGGCGGAGGCACCCGTCAGCCACACCCCTTTTTCAGGCCCCACCCCACGCAGCTTCCTACGTTAGTCCTGCCCCTCGTCCCAAGTTGCTGCAGAGGCCCACCCCGATGTCTCTGGAGCTTCCACGTATACACTCCAACGTCTCTCTCCACAGAGAGTACTTCCGGGTCGCTGAAGCAGGTGCCTCAGGCCCCGCCCCTCCCCAAGCACTGGACCGCGACTTCCGGCCACCTCAGGCCTTTCCCCTTTTCTGTGCAGGTTTTAATATCTGTTTCCCAGGTTGTTCTCGTCCTAGGTCCTGATTTCTGAGCACCCTTCACTCGCCCCCAGCGGCTCGCTCCTCATCCACAATCTCCTGGAGGCCCGGAGCGACACGGCCTGAGGCCTGCGGTGCGCGGCGTCCGCGTAGACCTGACCCCGTGTGTGTCTGCAACTCCGTTGAGGCCGCCTCCGCCACCGCCTCGGGATGCCGCGGCTGGGGTCCGCGCCGCGCTGGGCGGCCGCCGCGGGCCGTTGGGGCTGCAGGCTGCTCGCACTCCTGGTACTGCTGCTAGTACCAGAACCCGGCAGCGCCTCTGAGATCACCTTCGAGCTGCCCGACAATGCCAAGCAGTGTTTCTACGAGGACATCGCGCAAGGCACCAAGTGCACTCTCGAGTTTCAGGTACTACAGGCTTTGGCGGTTGGGTCCATGGCCCCAGCTCGTGGTTCCAGGTTCGGAGACTAATCGGCTGGCGCTCCCCTCCTGACCGTGTTCCTTAATTCTTTAGTCGTTTGAAGAATCAGCTCTAGGTACCTGATACAGAGCATTTGGCTTTCCTCTTCTATACCTTGCGCAAGAGCCATTTAAGACCAGATATTAAGATGTATGAATTCCAGAAGTGCTTTTCTTAGCCGTGACTTTTCTTTGCATTCTCTAATGCCCTTTATTTGAAGCCCATTGAGCTCTAATCCACACCTACACTTCAAGTAGATTTGAGGTGCTGCCAATATCTAACTCCATTGCTTTCCAGTTTTTTCATTGATATTAGACTACTGGTTAATGTCCCTGTTTTGGAAGAGCATCATTCGAGGTCAGATGACCATCTGCCAAAGGTGTTGTAGAAAGACTTGCTGCGATGAAAGAGAGGCCCCTTCTCGCCTTTAGTAGTATATTTAAAAAATAAACTTTATTTGGCAGATTGCAGTTTAAGTTGGTGAGAACAATCTTTACTCTGTATTATTTTTGGTAGACTTATTTCACGTATTTGAGCAGCTGTTCAGTGGTGGGTGCTGGTTATACAGAAGTGATCAAAACACTGGAGGATGTTTTGTACATTCTTGATTCCCCGCCAGTCGTACCCTGCATTTCCTAATTAGTACCTGCTCATTCATCAAAACTGCTTTAAGAACAGAAAATAGGGGATATATGATCTGATCTTGGGGATCTGTGAAGGCTTCCTTTCGCAAGTGATTTTAAAATAAATTGTAAAGAATGAGTTGTACATACTTTGGTAAGGGAGAAGGAGGACTAGGTTTTGCAAGGATCCTGTGGTAAGGGTGACGGCGAATTTGAAGACCATGGAGAGGTCCTATGTATTTGGGAATAAGAAGTCAGAAAGGAGAGGAAGGGGTGACAAGGGCGGGGGGGGGGTGCAAAGCATTAGTGCCTTGCTGACTGTGATAAGAATTTTAGTTTTTCCTATGAGTGTGGGAAACCGTCACAGGGTTGTAAGGAGTGTAGTGACATGGTCCAAATATTTTTTGGTAGTTACATGGCTATTAACTTGTGCATGTAGAGAAGGTATTTTAGAATGGGTATTCAAAATGCTTAGGAGGCTATTGTAGTGGTTCAGGCTTAGACTAGATCTAGGATGTTAGTAGTGGGGAAGGAGAAAAGTGAAAGGATTGGAGATAATTTAGTAGATAAAAATCAAATGGGACTTGGTGATTTGACTATAGGGAGTGAGGGAAAGAGGGGTAAGGATGACCCTGATGTAGGCTTGTTTAACTTCCTGGATTAGGACCACAGGACAGAAAAGAAGATAGTAGGAATAGTAATATATAATGTCAGCAAAAATCTTATTTGTTTGAATTTAACAAACATTTTGCATTCTTACATGTATAGACACTGCTTGGTACTGGGAATACTATCACTACTACTATTATGGGCTAAAACAACACCTTTTATGTGGCTGACAGTAAGCCAAGCATTTTAGGTGTATTACTTAATTCTAAGGACAACTCAATATGAAATAGTTATAGTTCTTAGTACTTTTTTACTGATGAAGAAACTGAGGCTTCCATAGGTTAAAACGCAAGGTCATAAAAGAGCAAGTAGCAGAATTAGTATGCAGTTCCAGTTTTGGGGTTTTTTTTTTAAGATTTCATTTATTTATTTTTAGGAGAGGGGAAGGAAGAGAGAAAGAGGGAGAGAAATATTGTTTGAGAGAGAAACATCAATCAGTTGCCTCTCATACATGCCCCCACTGGAGACAGAACCCACAACCTTTCACTTTGTCCTTTGTGGAGCAATGCCCAACCAACTGAGCCATACCAGTCAAGGCTACAGGTTAAAATCTTTACTTTGTTATACCTCCTGGAGATAAATAGGACTTTGACCTCAGGGAGCTTCCACAAACACATAGTCATATAATGTTAAATGCAACAATGAAAATACACATTAAATATTGTGGGAGTGTAAAAAAAAAAAAAAACCTTCCACCTTCTAAGTTCTTCTAGCTGGGCTAATAATCAAATTAACTGAGACAGATAAACAGGAGAAAAGGTACAAAGTTTATTATGAATGTATATGCAGGGGTGTCATAGATAGGAGACTCAAAACCCATTGGGCATTTGAGGCTTATATGCCATGCTGGACGAAGCAGAAGATATGGGCAGGAGTCGGGGATTTCAGAGGGAAATTAGGCAATTCATAGGTAGCAAGAAAGAGCAGAACGTGGCAAATTCTTGCTAAGTGACCCAGAAACAATAAGGCAAAGGTGAGGAAACAGGATTTGTTACATTTTTTCCCCTCAGTCTGATACCATAAAGTGAATACCAAAGTGAATTCTAAGGTTCCTTTCCTGAAGCAGGTTTTTCTATCTGAATCTTTTTAGGTGGGAAACGGGGAGGTAATAAAGTCTTGAGTCTTTTGTTTCCAAATAACTAGCTTAAAATCAGTATTCCAAAAGGCGTATTTTTGGGGTGGTAAAAATTTGCCCTACTCCTCGCTGCCTCCCCCCAGTCCCCCAATATACTGCTGGCTGAAGGAGGATCATTGGGAAGTTTAGCTGAAGGGCAGGTTTTTGGTCTGAGTCTAGAAGGATAAATAGGAGTTGCAAGACCGCAGAAAGGAAAGGGACAGCCTAGGCAGATGTGTTATGTTTATAAGAGTTAACTCCAGCAGGCCTGAAATTAACCTGACCTGGAACTGAAATACACTGAACAATAGTATTGCTTTGTAACTATGGATCTAAGGCCTTCAGTGGTGTTTTGTAACAGTTTGTCAGCATTGTTTATTGGTAATAGTCTGCTTGCACCTGGTCTCTATGATCCTCCTTCAACCAGCAGTATATTGGGGGACTAGGGGGAGGCAGCAAGGAGTAGGGCAAATTTTTACCACCCCAAAAATACGCCTTTTGGAATACTGATTTTAAGCTAGTTATTTGGAAACAAAAGACTCAAGACTTTATTACCTCCCCTTTTCCCACCTAAAAAGATTTCCCCCCTCAAAGGCCTGGTATTAAGTCTGGTTACCTATTAGGAATATGCCTGTGTGACCAGCAAAATATAAAAAGCCCAGCCAACACTCTTTTGGGCTCTCTGGTTCCAAGGTGTTCCGTGCACACTTGGTGGCTCCTGATCTGAGAGAGAGTATATGCCAAGCCACAGCCCTCACAGAGGGAGGCCAAAGCAGCCAATACCTAACCTCCCCCTGACCTATTTCTGTGAGACAGCTTTGGCTGTGAGGTTTTCTTTTTCTGTAATAAACTGGATTTTTAAGCATTGCCATTTTGGGTCCTGTGATTCTTCTTGAGCAAACAACCCTGTGTGTTAGTGAAGATGTAAAGCAAAGACTTCTTCAGAGAACTTCTGGCAGTCTGATATTTTTGGAATGCAGAATGAGAAAGGGTATAAAAAAGGTGCCACGGCTACTGGAGGAGGTACAGGGGAATGGTTTGCCATTGTTAACAGGTTTGGGTATTTCTGTAGGGGAAAGGAAAAGGGGATTTCCAAAAGGAAATGAGATTATCAAAAGGTTTTAATCAAATAGGGGATGGAGAAAGATAGGGAGGTTGCCCTCACCTCCAGGAGACACGTGGGGACAAGGATGCAAATAGTGACTAGAGACCAGAGATGCTGCTAAACATGCTAGAATGCACAGGGCAACACAGTCCCTCCCCTACAACGAAGATATCCAGACGGAAATTAATCTAAACCAAGTTGAGAAACACTGATTAAAGGGATGAGAGATTGAGCTGTGGGAAGAATTTTTAGGAAGGTGTGGCAATAGTCCTGTCTGGATTGTGGATTAGGAATGGAAAAGGTGGGATGAATTTGAGAAAGGCAATAACATTAAGAGATTTCTGTGATTTAACTGGACAGATAGGGACATTAATTTGGGATGGTTCCAAGTTTCTATCTTACGTGACCAGACACTTTGTAAAGGGGTACTTTTATCTGAAATGAGATTACTTGTTTTAAAGTTTGTTGGAAGAAAAGTGACCTGAAGATCTGTTCTGGTCCTATTCAAGTTTGTATGTATGTATTTGATTACTCAAAGTACAACTGTCAATATGAGTAATTGGGTATATAAAAATGATGTCATTATTTTCACCTAGAAGAAAAGTTGACTTTTGCGGGGAGGGGTAAATGCCCAGTTGATAAGATACTTTTTATGTCAGAACATTATATCTGAATATTAATTTTACATATTTTTACAGTTTCCTAAGTATATAATTTCATTTAAATATCAAAATGATCTTGTAATGTAGTTTAGTTATTCATAGCTTAAGTGAAAAAAAGTCACACAAGTAATCAATTCTTCTTTGAAGTCCAAAGTTTGATCTCTGAGTTCTACACATGTAGAATGTCCATAGTATGCTAACCGAAAGTGTTCAGACTTGAAAATACAGGCATGTGCCACCCAGTCTCATGTTGGTTGGGAACCCTCAAACGCATTATCTCTTCCACCTCACTGCTTTCTTGAGTGGATACATGCACCCAGTGTTTCTTCTCCTGTCTCCTCTCTTTTTCTTCCCACTCAGTTCTTTCCCACATAAGGAAGCCTTTCTTCTCTTTAATCCTGTTTCCCTTTTCTCTCTTACTATGATTGCCCAATAACTTCAGGAAAAGTCTCCTCCTCCTCTCTTCATTTGGAAAACCCAAGCTGGCCAAATTGTAACTGATTAAGGGTAAGCCTTTGAAAATACCTCCAAAATCCTCTTCAGAAACATTTTATCTATTCTCCAGCTTTTGTTTCAGTGTGCTTGCCCTTAAATCAAGCTTTTCAGATAAAAGATCTTTTTGTGTCGTGTTGTTTTGTTTTTGCTCTATGTTTCTCTTGGAAACAAGTTCATAAATGATGATAATACTCTTAAAACAGCCCACAGTCTATTCAATTTATAATGTAACTCAAAACAAAATATGTATCAAATTCTATATAACTGAACTATAAAAGAATTTAAACAATCTATATGTAATTTGGCACTAAAATTAGTTTGAGTTCTATGATGAATGTATGCTTAGGGCGTTGTGCTAAGGACTGACTTGCTTTATTACTTCACTATCCAACTGTGTGCCTCGATGGTACTAACGGGAAACTAGATGAGAAAATTTGGGGAAGGAAATAATGGGACACTAGGTGAGAAAAAATGGCACTAAGCTTAGGGGTTAAAAGTGTGAATTTAGAGCTCAAGTTTTATCTTCACTCAGTTTGTCAGATGGAGGAGTGAAAAAAAGCCTCTGGTAGGATTGTTTGGGAGAATTAAGTGATGTAAGAGACCTACATTAACTAGAATAGTTACCTGGCTAAGTAGCTAGTTCCCTCTCTTCTATTATGTGGAAATATGTTCAGTTTTTATAAACCTTTTAGTTGAGCTGAAATCTGCCTTCAAATTCCATCCACTGGTAGAAATCAAAAAATATGAAATTGTGATAGGAAAGATCCTTAGCCTATATAACCTTATTGCCATTTTAGCAGGAAATGGGGTTATTTCTAAAATTTGTTAATTCTTCTTTCTCTGTCTTTTTATAGGTGATTACTGGTGGTCACTATGACGTAGATTGTCGATTAGAAGATCCCGATGGTAATGTATTATACAAAGAGATGAAGAAACAGTATGACAGTTTTACCTTCACAGCTTCCAAAAATGGGACATACAAATTTTGCTTCAGCAATGAGTTTTCTACTTTCACACATAAAACCGTATATTTTGATTTTCAAGTTGGAGAAGACCCACCTTTGTTTCCTAGTGAGAACCGAGTCAGTGCCCTTACCCAGGTAAATAAAAAGTCGGCAGTATAATGTTGGTGTGTGTAAAGGGAGAAAATGCATAGTTTATGTGTATTAACTTATTGGTAAACACAGAATTTTGACTTTCACCACAATCATTAAGACTTATCTTAATTCTTACAGTAGGTTAGGCATTTCACAGAGAAATTCAGACTTTTCAGTGAAGACCAATGGTAAAGGTTTATATGAACTTTTAAGTATTTAAAAAAAGGCATTAAAATAGGAAGATCACTTAGGTAGAAACATCAGTGGCAAAGGAAATTTGGAAGTCTAAACAGTACTCCGGCATTCTGAAGTATTTTCTGCAGTTCATGGAGGAATTTTGCTTACATAACCTAGCAGATTGGTATAACCAGAAGCAAAATGATACCTTAATATATAAAGATTGCACAGATGGTTTTATGCGAATATTTATGTTATTCAAGCTGCTATTAAAATAACTTTTGTTGTAATTTAAGATAAAATATTAAAAGATGATTAAGTCATTTGACAAAAATAGTTAAGGAAGCAAAATTGGGTTTTATTTTGAAGAATAGGTTAATGAGAAAGATAGTAAAAGAAATTTAAATTCAGTGAACAGATACTGATCAGGTGATGAACGGGCTATTTTAGTTCTAGTTCAGATACAGTATGAGTTTAGATTATAGCTAAAAGATACTCAATTAGGTGTTCAAAGGTATTATTTAACACCTGCTTGTTAAAACCTTTAACTAGTACAGTATTTCAATTAGTCTCTTGGCCAAAGTATGTGATGACAGAGGCAGTTTTTAAGAGTGTGTAAGAGTCCTAATTCATAAACTTACTGTAGGCTTTAATAAGATGTATTCAAGCGCTCTTATTTCTAGGAATGTTCTTTTTATTTTAGCATCCTGTGTGAATGGCACTTTGCTTTATAAAAAGATTTTCTTTTAGGTCATAGTTTTTAACTTAACATTCATGAATTTTAATTTGTATAAGAAAGTAAGTTGCTCTTCAAAACCTAAGTAGATAAATGTAAGGAATGACTGGTCATAAAGCAATTAGTATCACTTAACCTCCTTTATTTGTATCACATTTTAGAAAATCTTTTCTTAGTTTTATTTTTCTACCTTTAAAGAGCTAGTAAGTCCTTTCTACAATAGGGATACTTAAAAAGCAGCTGTTCATACTTGGGAATTAAAAAACATTACAAGCTAATAAATGCAGAATAATTGATAGAGTTTTATTAAATCACCATTTTTAACCACTAATAAAACAGTGGGTTTAGAGTAGGCTGTAATCACCAGTCACTGCTAAAACCCATTAGGTGAAGGGCCAATGGCAAACCTTATAATGGTAGGTAAGACTGATAATCACCTATATCTAATGATACTTCACAAATGGAGGGAGAACTAGACATTATATGTCTTCTGATAATAGGCAATAATGAAATACACAACATTGCTTATGAAGTGTTCCCACTAAGAACATTACATCTGAATCCCGTCAAGACTCTAGCTCCAACTACCAGTTTATGAGAAATACCGAGGATAGAGGAACACTATAAGAATACAATTAGGAAAATTCAGGAAGTGGGAAATGCTTACAGGATTGAGGCCCCAGTTTCTTCAGTAAATGGATAGGAAGGAAAAAAAAGAAAGAAGAGAACCTAAAAGACATATCAACCAAATCATTGTGTTGATCTTGTTTGGATTCTAATTTGTGAACAACTTTTGAGGCATTTGGAGAAATTTGAGTAGTAACTGTATATTCAGTATAAAGGAATTATTTTTAATTTATGTGTTATAATGCTGTTGGGGTTCCATTTTTTAAAGTATTATCTTTCAAAAAATATAGTATAAAAATATAGCTGAAATAATAAAATATCTGGGATTTGCTGTAAAATAATTGCAATGGGGAGGAAAATTAGTGGGGAGTATAGCTGGACCAAGATTGGCCATATGTTAATAATTATGGAGGTTCTTTTTTCTATTATCTATACTTCTGAATATGTATGAACATTTCCACATTAAAGATACAAAGAAAAAAAGGGAAACGACACCGTCTGAAACCGTCTGAAAAATTGTATTGAATCTATGTAATTAATCCTTTGATTTATGTATTTTTTCTAACCAGCTGTTCTTAATCCATACCCCATGGTCAGGATTTATGGAATCCTTAAATATTCTGTATTTGTGTCAAGTCCTTGTTTTTATGCATATTTTCCAGGGGAAGAATCCTTAGGCCACGTATTTTGAGAATCCATAGAAAACAAAGAAGTGCTAGAAGCATCTCTAGCCTCTTATCACAATTTAGAAATTATTCATTTTAGCACAGTTTTGCTAATCTTTCATTCCTAGAGGCCTGACTAAGGGCAGCAAAATTAGTATTCTAATAGGTAAATTCAATCTTTGGATCTCATAATTTCTTACTTTTTAAAGGCACCTTTAATGGAATTTTTTATAGTTATTTCTTTTATGCATAAGTTGGTAGAACTTTATTGACTATTTGAATTCTTTTTTTTAAAGGTTTTTTTTCTATGTATTGGATTTTTTAAAAAATTAGAATAATCATGTACATGCTGTCACAAGTCAAATTATACAGGGTTGTGTAAGAAAAAGTAAATAATTGCCTTTCCCTTCATCTTACACCACTGAGATAATGTTAAAAGTCTGAATTTTCTTTCTATACATTTATCTTTGCTCATACAAAGGTATGCAGACATATGTTTCCTCTTTATTTTATTTTAAAGTGCATTTTATTGATTATGCTATTACAGTTGTCCCATTTTTTTCTTCCCTTTATTCCCCTCCACCCTGTACCCACCCTCCCACCAGCATCCCCCCCACCTTGGTTCATGTCCATGGGCCATACATATAAGTTCTTTGGCTTCTCTGTCTCCTATATTATTCTTAACCTTCTGTCTGTTTTGAACCTACCATTTATACTTCTTATTCCCTGTACCTTCCCCCCATTCCCCGCCCCACCCCGTCCCGCTCCCTTATGATAACCCTCCATGTGATCTCCATTTCTGTGATTCTGTTCCTGTTCTAGTTGTTTGTTAGTTTTTGTTTTTGTTTTTAGGTTCAGTTGTTGATAGTTGTGAGTTTGTTGTCATTTTGCTGTTCATAGTTTTGATCATCTTCTTTTTCTTAGATAAGTCCCTTTAACATTTCATATCATAAGGGCTTGGTGATGATGAACTCCTTTAACTTGACCTTATCTGGAAAACACTTTCTCTGGCTTTCCATTCTAAATGATAGCTTTGCTGGATAGAGTAATCTTGGAGTAGGGCCTTCCCTTTCATGAGTTTGAATACTTCTTGCCAGCCCCTTGCCTTCAAGGTTTCTTTTGAGAAATCAGCTGATAGTCTTATGGGAACTCCTTTATAGGTAACTGTCTCCTTTTCTCTTGCTGGTTTTAAGAGTCTCTTCTTATCTTTAATCTTGGGTAACTTAATTATGATGTGCCTTGGTGTGTGCTTTGCTGGGTCCAACTTCTTTGGGACTCTCTAAGCTTCCTGTATCTCCTAGAAATCTTACTTCCTTTACCAGATTGAAGATGTTCTCCTTCAGTATTTTTTCAAATAAGTTTTCAATTTCTTGCTCTTCCACTTCTCCTTCTGGCATCTGTATGATTCAGATATTGGAACATTTAAAGGAGTCCTGGAGGTTCTTAAGCTGCCTTTTTTTTTTTTTTTTTTTTTTTTTTTTAAATTCTTGTGTCTTCATTCTATTCTGGTTGAATATTTATCTCTTCCTTCTCCAAATCATTGATTTGAGTCCTGGTTTCCTTCCCTTCACTGCTGGTTCCCTGTACATTTTTCTTTATTTCACTTTGCACAGCCTTCACTTGTTCCTCTGTTTCGTAACCATACTCAACCATTTCTGTGAGCATCCTGATTATCGGTGTTTTGAACTCTGTATCTGATAGGTTGGCCATCTCTTCATCGCTTAGTTTTATTTTTTCTGGAGTTTTAATCTGTTCTTTCATTTGGGCCACATTTCTTTTCTTGGCGTTCCTGTTACGTTGTAAGGGGCGGAGCCTTAGGTGTTCTCCAGGACGGGGCAACCCAGGTTGCTGTGCTATGATGGTCTATGGGAGCAAGGGCTCAGAGAGGGAACAATGATGCTTGCTCAGCTCTCGCCCTGTTTCCAGTCACTTCCCCTGCTGTGCACAAGCAAATTGGGCCCGGGTGGGTGGGTTTGTGTATATTCTAGGACCCTGTGGGTCTCTCCAGTGAACACTCCTGTGAGGTTTGGAGTCCCCCGCTGCCGCAACCCCCACAGGTTTTTACAGCCAGAGGTTTTGAGGCTTTCTTTTCCCACACTGGAACCCTGAGTTTCACAGTCTGTCTCACTCCTGAGTTGTTCCTCATGGTTTATCTACACGCAAATGTGGGACCTTCTGGTCTGCCAGCCACTGCCTCACCCACCCGATCCTCTAGCCACTGCGTTGCTGCAAGTCTTCTCCACCCTGGCTGCCTATCTCAGCCTCTCTTCCCAGTCTGGATGAATGTGTCTTCTTTAATTCCTTGGTTGTTGGACTTCCATACAGTTCAAGTTTTTGGTAGTTCTGGCTGTGTTTTGTTTTTAAATTTGTTGTTGTCCTTCTTTTGGTTATGCAAGGAGGCAAAGTGTATCTACCTATGCCTGCATCTTGGCTGGAAGTTTCTCTGCATTATTTTCTAATGTCTATATTTCTTAATTAAGAAATTGTTTTTTAAACTCTTACTATGTGGTTTGTGAGGTAAAAATAAGTAATAAAGCATGTATTTCATCAGCAGGATTAAGTTTTGAGCAATACTTAAATTGTTAAGCTCTGGTTTATTAAAAAATGTTAAGCTCTGGTTTATTAAAAAAAATTAGTCATTTAACCCTTCTCAAGTCAGATGGTATAATTAATGTATTAAAAGCTGTCATCAGATGAAGGCTCACAAATTGATTACACAGTGAAACTGAAACTTGTATCCCATTGAGAACATATAAGTTTAATTGACTAATATGAGGGAAAAGACTTATTTAGCAAATTGGTAAATGTAAAAAAAAAAGATTCCTACTCTGACCTATTATTTTCAGATTTGACTATTTTTAAAAGAGCTAAAATAACCTTGACTAACAGTCTATTTTTATGCCATACTTTACTTGAAACTTTGTTTGGAATTGGATGTTCTTATTGGTCAAATTTACTGATCTGCCCCATCTCTTCTTCCTAATCCTTCCTTTTTGGGGAGTCTGGGTTTGAAATTTTACAGCTACAAACCTAACTGATGAGTATTTCCGCTATTGTGAGCTTGGTGTTCCATCCTTACAGATGCCACATCTGTGACATTTTAGAGTGGGGCAAGCAGCTGCTTTATGGGATCTCTAACCTTACTGGTTATACTAGTGGGAATGAGTAAACGGAGGGAAGGGTTGCATTGCCAGGGCCAGTGGCATAAATGTGTGAATGAATGAGTTCCAATTTAGTAGAACACTACTGAAATGGGGAATTAAGATCAAATTAAAAGAAAAGATGACTATGCTAGATGAATTGTACAGAAAGTATTAAACGTACTAACTGGAAATATTTCTCTTTAGATGGAATCTGCCTGTGTTTCAATTCATGAAGCTCTGAAGTCCGTCATTGACTATCAGACTCATTTCCGCTTGAGAGAAGCTCAAGGCCGAAGCCGAGCAGAAGATCTGAATACAAGAGTGGCCTATTGGTCAGTAGGAGAAGCCCTCATTCTTCTGGTGGTTAGCATAGGGCAGGTATTTCTCCTGAAAAGCTTTTTCTCAGATAAAAGAACCACCACAACTCGTGTTGGATCATAACTACGTTTTGAGAATTGATGCACAATTGCCACTGTAATATTGCTGTCCTCTAATTAATTTTAGATACTGAAGAACTTAATATTGGCAACATTTTAAAAACCTTACTCATACACTTTTTTGGGGGGGATGTACAATGACTATCCCCAAACTGTGGAAAGGACACCTTTTTTTATTTGTAAAGGTATAAAAACTTTGGAACTTATTTTGGGCTATTCATGTTCAATATTCAACACCAATGATCTACTCTTTTCTTGGTTGTTTATATCTACTCTTCGCACACTAAACTTTGGTATTTTGATTCCTTTTTGCCATTTAAAAATACTTTTCTTATAGGTAGTGGATATTTTTAAAACCTTCGATTTAATATCTACATATGTTGGGGAGGAAGAAAATTGCCTTTTAATTGTTTATAGTAAATAAGGTTTTGATTTTCAGAAAACCAAATGTGATTAACTGTAGCCCAAGCCTATTCTGCACTGTTTAGTTTTTATGGGGGGAAAAGTCTACCATAGCAATGTGTGTTAATACTGATAAAATTTTAAATTGATACATCATGGTATAACTTATTTTTTGCTAGCTTGGAAAAAGTCAGGTTTTTGTTTGGGGGGTTTATTCTATGATTTATAACCAGATATGTTATTTTTTTCATAAAGACATTCTTACCACACAGAAAATTGTATGTTTCAGTAACATCATGGAGTTTTTACAGGCCTTAAAAATCAGACTGTCATACCAGATAGAATAAATACAGCATAATTTAAGATACTACAATGTCTTATAGTGTAGGGGCAAATGGAATTAAGAAAAATTTTAGTGAGTTACCTGCACACATTACATTTTCAGTGCTTTTACAAAGAAAAAAGGTGATCTGTTTCATTTAAACGTTAAATTGGCTGGTTCTTGCCCTTATGTGGCTTTATGTTTTTGAGTCATTCCCAGCTTAAATCGACACTTGTAATATTAGTATCGTAAAAGTGCCATACGTTTAACCCCAATAGGTGTGATGCACTGAGAAGTTAGTTTCTTTGGATTTTTTTTTCTTTTCTATTCTTTTATTTCTCTTTCGTCCTGCACATGTAATTTGTATAATCTCTGGTTAGAATCCCTAAAATGATTTAAAAATTTAGAACTCTGTGTGTGTTTTTTATTTGGTAATCTTCATTGATTGTACTGCATTTAATGAATATTAAATAGTTCATATTCTGTACACTATATGGTTTAGAATGTGTTTGTATTTTACAACTTGTATAGATTGAGCTGACTGAAATAAGATTTTGTTTTAAGTATTCTAAGATAGAACCCAAGATATCACAAAATTGTATAGGTGTTTAAAGCTTTTCTGCTGTTAAAAAAAAAAAATGCAGCTGCTTTTTGTCATGCCTCCTCCCCTCACCCAAAGGTGTAAGTGCTGAACAAGACTCACATTGTAGAGACTTTGATATATGGTACCATAGAATACTGATTAGATAGCAATTCTAGTCACCACTACTGACTAAAAGTTAACTCAATTTTAAGCTGTCTTAAAATGCATATGTACACTACTGCATGTAAGAGCAAAAGGAATTAAAGTTGTCATGCTGGCTAATTTCAAATGCTGCAGTATAGCAAGGGATAAACATATTTCCAACTTCAGCTCTTTAATTCTAAAATTTTTGAAGACCAAATAGTTAATCCTTAATATCAAGTTAAAATTTTGCAGCTTTATCCAAATGGATTCTTATATTGGAGTTGCCCTGCAGCTTTATGTGCCCCTCTGTATTTAGATTTGAAAATTTGCAGCACTAACGTTAATGTGGTTCATAAGCACGGTATATGCTAACTGTCCTTACGGGTTACCTGTCCGCTGTGTTATGTTCAGGTCCTTAGACCATAATTAAGCAGAGTCAGGTACCATCAGTGTGCTGAGTTTGGCACAGATAATGCAGTTACTCATCTGTGCCTATCAGAACTTCATAGTATTAGACTTTCTAAAAATAACTTGATGAAACTATTGAAATATATTAAAATGTTTGAAATCACCACTGTTACCTGTTGTATACAATAGTACAGGCTTAGTCTAGTCTGTATGTAACTGGTTAACGTTTGATGGCTGTCTATACTCAACTGGGTATGTATATATAAATGAAAAAATACATATCTATACAGACATAAATGTTAAGTAAACTTTTTTCTTCCTCCTAATATATAAGTTGTAGCTCATCTTTTTTCTTTAATTCTCTCATAACTTGATGCGACAGTTTGAATTTCCCAGATACTTATATTTGGACATATGGCTCAGAATACATATTTAAACATCATTAGCTGTATATATTTTTTAAATAAATAATGGAAAGGGACTTGATATACAAGTTTATACTAAAATTTCAACTGTGAAGATATTACTTTGCTAATAATCTAAACCTTTTTTCTAAAACGAAACAAATGGTGTGTGGTTCGAAACTTTCTGGCTTGATGCTAATCAACTTTGAAAATACAATGGACTGAAAAGTAATTTTATTCTTTGAAAGATTTCATTTAAATCTCTGTACTATCCATATTTACTTCAGTTTGTAAGTGTGTAACGTTGATAAATAGGACAAAGTAGACCCTATGATTATTGTTTTCAAAAATTAAACAAATTAATATATAAATCAGGGGTTTTTCATTTATTTTTGAAAAACAAATTAAACATGATGGTTCTGTAGGATTGTATCAGTCATTTCTTGTAGAATAAAAAAATCAACAAACTGACTTGTTTCTGTCAGGAATTAAATTTTTTTAAAGCTCCTTATGAACTTGCAGCTTGGAGTATATTTTTGTAGCAAGAGAGTGATTATTTATGTGGTATTTCATTGAAACATCTTAGGGACTGGCCAAAAAGAAAAATTAAAGAGAAATACAGGTGTTCCCCACCTTTCAAAAGTTCATCATATGCCACTTCGCTTTTACAAAAGATCTACATTGTACATACCGGTTTTCATTACCTGGGAGAAACCCAGAGGATTTTCCTTTTACAAGAAATAGTGAAAATAGCATTCAGCATTTGTTTTGCAGAGAGCCATTATGGAGGCAGCCTGCGCCCTGAGCAGCGTGAGTTGGCTCTGCTTTTATTCTGTGTTAGTATTATTGTAGGTTTTATGTGTTACTTGGTAGGTTATTTTATGGGCCTGGGAACACTTAAAATTTTTTCCATGTAAATGGTAATTGCTTCTTTGCTTTACCTCATTTCTGCTTAGGAAAGTTTTCATAGGAACACTCTACTTTTCAGATAGCTGGGGAAACTTGTACCACCACTAAACTGCCTCATTTTTAACACTTTTTTGCATTTCTTACTGAAAGTTTGGGTGAAAAGCAGTTTAGACTTCAGTTCTCTGAAAAGCTGTTAGTTTTTAAGTAAATTAACATTAGGTTGTATATTGCCAAGTTGCCTCAGTTTTTTTCTTCCCCTTTATTAATGTAGTCATAGGGGATGTTCTCGTTTCTGGGCACAATTCTCCAAAAACAAATAACAGCTATTTTAGGTTAACATTGAATGCCTACCCTCTGCCAGGTGCAGTGCTAAATATTTTACTTGTATTGATACATAACATCTTTGCAATAATCCTGTGAACTGAGAAATTCCCGTTTTGCAGGTGAGAAAATATGGAGGCAGAGAGACGTTAGGAAACCTAGCTATATAACAGTAATTAGCAGAATCTGAATACAAACCATTGCTTCTGGTTCCAGAGCCCTCTTTGTCAAACACCAGGCAGCATCGCCCTACAAACACCAGTTAAAGGATAGATATCTGAAGGCTTAACTGTCTTGATTTCAGTGTAGCTCAATAGTGGTTCAGAGCTTTAGTCTCAAATTCGAATCATGGTTGTATAATAGTCTGCTAGAAGTTTCAAAAATAAATGTGGTAGCCTGACTTCCAGGAACATGACTTAGTTGGGGGAGGCCAGAGAGCTATATAAGCAAGTAATGTTACATAAGTAACAAAGCAGAATGGCCTTGAAGGGGCCACCTTAGCTGCTAAGGCATTTATAGGGTGCTACAGGAGGAAGAAAATTCAGGGTCCAGTAGAAGTGGAGCTTGCTTGAGTGTGCTTGGTCGGGTACATGAATGTCTCACACAAGATGGACAGTAATTTGAACATTTCACCTAAAATGTCATCCTGTGCTTGGGTATCATATTGTTATGTTACAGAATTACATGCTTATGATTTTGTAATAAAAGATTTTATAATAAAAAAGGGGCATTATTTGTGCTGGACCCTGTGTATAGGTTGGAAGACATATCCCTCAAAGTTTAACTTTGTCTACCATGGGGGAGGTCCATGGTTGTCTAGCGAGGCTAGCAATTGAATGGAGTAAACTCTTAATTTAGTGATACGGACTGTTAGCCAGTTCTCATTGCTACAGGTTGGAAAAACATGTTCTTTAACTTTGTTAATAATAAAGGCAGAATTCTCTTAATTTGTCCATCTCAGTTTCCAAATTCTGGAAGAAAATAAAGGATGTTATCCCTAAACCACCAAATGTTCTATTTTTCAGTGTATTTTTTTCCATTTTATAAGATATCTATAGAAATGACCGCATTCCTTGCTGAAATTGAGAGGTAACATTGGTCTGGCATAATCTGTTTTTAGTGCTGGTATTTGCTAGTGATTACTACTACCTTAAAAAAAATTTGAGAAACAATGGTTCAAGAGTAAATCCACTCATAATCCCACCATCCATCCAGTTATTTTTATAGATATATGTGTATGTTTTTTAAAAGTTGGCATTGTCCGTAATAAATTTTCAAACTTGAAAATTGTGAAATCTGCCGGAATACAGAAGAGGTCATTAAATGTGTACAGTTTAAAGAGAAGTAAAATGATAAAGCACATGCTAATATAACCAATGCTCAGTTTGAGAAAATACAACACTGGCCCCGTCTGGTGTGGTTCAGTGGGTTGAGTGCCAGCCTGTGAACTGAAAGGTCACTGGCTCAATTTCCTGTCAGGACACATTCCTGAGTTGTGGACCAGGTCTCCATTTGGGGGTGAACGACAGGCAACCAATCGATGTTTCTGACTCTCTTTTTCTCCCTCCCTTCTCCTCTCTGGAAATAAATAAAAGCCTTAAAGAAAAAATACAACATTGTTAGCACCACAAAGAGTTCCTATTTATCTTTTCCTGATCACATCCCTGAAATTCTCCACAGGGATAACCAATGTTCGGCTTGTAATGAAAATAATTTTCTTACTTTTTTAAAAATATTTTTACCAGTTGCATATAATAAATCTTTTCAAACTACTTTTAAAAATAATTTCCATACATCACAGCTACTTTTATAAATACAAAATCACATGCTAGAAGGTTTTGACAATATCAAACTCTCACTTGCGCTTATCTCTGTATCAGCCTGTGCCAGTTCGGTATGGTCTGCACACCACACTTTGAATAGTAGTGATGTGTACATTCCTGAAAAATATTTTAGGTCAGGTGAAAACTAAACTTTAATAAATAAACTTTAATGGAGCATTACATTCTATTTAATAAATGGGATATTAACGTACTATTTTGTGACTTTTTTGCTAAGTCATGCACGTAGATGCATATGGCTGTAGTTTGTTTTGTCACTGTGTCCATTCTGAGTATACCAGAGTTGTTATGTGTCTTCTATTGTAATGGTGTTTGGATTGTTTCACATTTTTTTGCCATCATGAACAAATCCACTATGAACATTTTTGTATATGTGTCCTATTGCACATGTGTATGATCTCTTAAGAATATATGTAGGAGTCGAATTATTTGCTCATTGAATGTATCTATCTTCATCTTTACTAGGTAATGTCTGACTTTGCTAAAGTAATTATATCAATGAGTGCTTTCATCAGCAGTGTTGGAAGGTTCCACATTTGGTATTGTCAGACTTGAAAACTTGAAAATCTCTTGGGTATTTCAGTTATTTATATAGATGTATATACATTTGTTAGAGAATATACCTCATCATTGTTTGATCTGCATTTCCATGAGATTGTTTATTTCTCATGGGTTTATTTACCATTTTGACTTTCTTGTAAAGCCCCTGTTCAAATTATTTGCCCATTTTAAAAAATAGATTACTTGACATTTTTCTATTAACAGGATTCCTTCCTGTATTCAGGAGACTAATCCTTTAGTTATAACTATTTCAAATATCTTACAGTTTGTTTTTATTTTTCTGTTCATAGTGAAATGTATCACTCTTTTTCTGTATTGGCGTTTTTATAAGAAATATTTCTCTATCCTGAGGTCATGAATATCTTCTGCTATTGCTCATGAATATCATGAAAACATATGCTATGTTTTAAAATATGTATAATTTTGTCTTCTGCTTTGAGTTTTGCACAAGATAAGGTAGGTAACCAGGTTTCTTTCTTAATTTCTTGAAAACTCATCTTTTTCTATAGATTTGTGATGCCAATTCAGTCATCTGTTCAGTGCCCCTATTTCCATGAGTCTCTATTTCTGGGCTCTCTGATCTATCCCATTTATCAGTTAGTCCTTACACCAGTAACGTACTGTATTAATTACGAAAACTTTTTAAAGTCTTTTTAAAAAAACATTTCAGAGGCAGAGAAACATTGATTTGTTCCACTTACTTATACTTTCATTTTTTTGTTCTTGCATGTATCCTGATAAGGGATGGAACCCACAGCCTTGTAGCATCAGAACAGTGCTCCAGCCAACTGAGTTACCAAGCCAGGGCTTAAATTTTTGTTATTTGGGAAAACAGGTCTTTATACCTTGTTTTTCAAGATCTTGGCTATATGTTTTTTGCATTTTTGTTCAAAGTTTACAATTAACACAAATATCAGTAAAACAAAATAAATCAGGTTTTTGACTGGAATTGTATTTAATTTGTGAACAGTTTCCTCTATATAATAATACATCTTCCAGTGAATGAACGTATTCTTCCATTGTTAAGGTCTTAGATCTTTTGATGAAGTCGTGTAATTTTCTTGATAGAAGTATATATTTATGTATTTTGTTAAATTAATCTCATTTTTTCTTTTATATTTTTAATGCTATTGTAAAAAGTTACCTTTAAGTTTTTTATTTTTTAAAGATCTTACTTATTTTTAAACAGGGGAAGGGAGGGAAAAACAGAGGGAGAGAAACATCAATGTGTGGTTGCCTCTCATGTGCCCTCTATTGGGGACCTGGCACACAACCCAGGCATGTGCCCTGACTGGGAATAGAACCGGCAACTCTTCAGTTTGCAGGCTGGCACTCAATCCACTGAGTCACACCAGCCAGAACTTGGATATACAATTTTTAATTGAATTTTTCTATTCAACCAATTCTAATAATTCATCTGTAGATTCTTCTGGACTTTATGTATACAACTGTCACCTACAAGTCAGGACAGATTTATTTGTCTTGCTGTTCCTCATACCTTTTTGTTTCTTTTTTTTCTTTTTCTTGTCTGATTATATTTGCAGGGATCTTCATCCAGTAGGATGTTGAATAGAAGTCATAATAGACATTTTCGTTTTGTTGATGGTCTCTGGGAGTGCTTTCAAGGTATCCTGTAAGCAATTTATGGTGTTTTTTATTAAATTTAGAAATTTCCCTGCTATCTTTAGCTTGCTAAGACTTCTTTTATAATCATTAAATTGAATTTTATCAAGTTGTTCTGTACTTAGAAAAATCATTGTTTTTTCACCTTTATTCTCAATGTGGTCAGTTACATGGATTTGTTTCCTATCATTAAACCCACTTTTTTTGAGGTAAAACCAATCTGGCCATGATGTGATTTGTTTGTTTTTAATAGCAGGATTTGATTTGTTTTAAGATTTTTGCTCAATATCAGTATTACAAGCCTTATAAAATGAGTTGGGGAGTGGCTTGCTTTCCCTATTATCTGAGAGAGCTATAGAATTTGTATTGTATCTTGAACTAGAAGAAATTAGAAATCTTAGGTCAAGTGTCTTGAGGTCTGGCATCTTTGTGGGATACTGATTCAATTTTATTATTAATAGTATCGTGTAATATTGGTAAATTGAATATTCCTGAGAATGTGTTTATTTCACCTACACTTTCAAAATTATGAGCACAATGTTATTCCTGTTATCTTTTTAACATGTCAGATCTGTGATTATATCCCCCTTTTATTCCTGATACTGTTATTTGTATCTTCTTTTTTACTTGACCAGTCTTACCAGAGGTTTATCACTTTTACTGTTTTTTTTCAAAGAGCAAATTTTTTTGTCATTTTCTTATTATATATTTGTTGTCTGTCTCATTGATTTCAGCTTTTTTGTAATTTCTATTTTTCTAGGTTGAGTTTAATGTCATATTTCTATATTCTTGGATATTTAGCTCAAATTTTCAACTTCTAATATATATTTAAAGTTAATATATATATTTAAAATCTGTACATTTATTTTTAAATCCTACTTGAGCTCCATGTCAGTTTTCTATGCTATGGAACAAATTACCACAAATCTATCAGTTTCAAACAGCATATTTTTATTATCTCCCAATATCTATGGGTCAAGAGTCTGGGAACACTTGGACTGTGTTCCCACCTGGAGCTTGGTGTCCTCTTCTTAACTCATCAGGTTGCTGATGGAATTCAATTCCTTGCAGTCCTACAACTGAGGCCCTCAGCCACTCGAGGCTTCTCCTCCACTTAGGCAGTTCACACCACTACTATTTGCTTCTTCCAGGCCAGCAGGAGAGACAATCTGCCGGGTAGAGTCTCTTTTTTCAGGGAAGTCTGTGGAGGAGAAGCAAGCTACAAGTTCTGCCCAAAGGTAGAGATACAGGGATGGGGAGGGATTGCAGGGGCCATCTTAGAATTCTGCTTCCTTACCACGCGCTCCATTCTACAAGACTTGATACCTATTTTACTTTATCAATTTCAAAGAATTTTCTGATTTTTTTTATTCTAATTTGACCCACAGAAGTTATTTGGAATTATAATTCTTAATTTCCAAATATAAGTATTTAAGTTCTTTTTTATTACTGATTTCTAACATAATTGCCTCATTGTGATCAGAGAACATATTCTCTTATTTAAATTATTTGAAATTTATGGGCAATTGCTTTGTGACTCTATTTACCTTCCTCTCAATTTATATGTTGTCATGTATTTTGTATACCTTTAAATACAATGTTATTACTATTTTATATATTCAATATTCATTTACATTGACCCATATATTTGCTACCTTCTTTGCTTTCTGTTCCTTGCTGCTCTTTAAGCTTCCATCTGGAATAATTTTTCTTCTGCTTGAAAAATACATTTAGAATTTCCCTTAGTGCAGGTCAGATGGTGGCAAATTAATTTCGTTCTTTTTTTTGAAAATGTCTTTATTTTGCCTTCACTTTTGAGGAAATTTGTTCTGGGTGTAGAATTCTCTTTGGATGATTATCTTGAAGTATCTTCCCATTTGCTGCTGGCTTCCATTTTATTATGAAGAAATCCTCTGCCTGTTGCCTTATTGAAACTAATCTTTTTTCCTTTGGCTGCATTCAAGACTTTTTCTTTGTGTTTGATT